TAGCCAGCCAGCACCGATGGGTAATTTACACTATGGACACTATTGGTTCTATAAAATCCACACTGACATATATAACATTTCAGCAATTTAATAAATAACCCTGTTAGTACAGCAGAATGCTCATTGCTGCAACCGTTCTCTAAATCCGCACGTTCCTAACCCCAGAAACCAGTAAACAGCTCATCCACTCCCTCATCATATCATGACTCGACTACTGCAACTCCCTCCTCACTGGCCTGCCTCGCCGCTGGCTATCCCCGCTTCAGTCAATCCTGAATACGGCTGCCAGACTTATTCACCTTTCCAACCGCTGTCTCCGCCACCCCCCTCTGCCAATCCCTCCACTGGCTTCCGATTGCGCAACGGATCAAATTCAAAATCCTAACACTGACGTACAAAGCTGTCCACCATACTGCCCCGAACTACATCACCGACCTAATATCCAAGTACCACCCAGCACGCACACTCCGCTCCTCACAAGACCTCCTTCTCTCTAGTTCCCTGGTCTCCTCCTCCCATGCCCGCCTCCAGGACTTCTCCAGGGTGTCACCCATCCTCTGGAACTCCCATCAGATTATCACCTACTCTACTCTCCTTTAGGTGCACCCTGAAAACCCATCTCTTCAGGGAAGCCTACCCCACCCCCTGCTAACTTGCCGACCTCCTCCACTCTTCCTACCACTCCATCACCCACAGCTATCTCCTCCTGTGCCACCATTCCCTCCCTCCTAGATTGTAAGCTCAAAAGAGCAGGGCCCTCAATCCCCTCATGTTTTGCATTGTATTGGTATTGTTCTGTCACATGTTCTGTCCCCCTTTGTAATGTACAGTGCTGAGTGAACCATTGGCGCTTTATAAATACTGTATAATAATAATAACAATTCTATTGTAATTTTCATTTGGTTTCAGTTGCAGAGAATGTATTAGAGGAGGAGTCTCCTCATCCGGAAAGCCATCCTGCAACACATCTCTATGGCATCAGTCAGTAGTTAAACGAAATCCAGCAATTTGGCTGGACTGGTCCTTTATTATAATTATTTCTCATAACAAAAATTCAATGAATAGAAAAATATTTTTTTGCTTATTTTTGTTGACATAGTGGGAAAGGGTTACACCCTGTGACAAGTTCTTGTGTCCCTGTCCCCATCAGGGAGATTCACCCATCTGGTTGTTCTGGTGACAAAATGTACACTGCAGCTGATAAACTGACATTCGGGAGCTTTTCTGCTGTTTTTTCAGCAGCCCCTGAACTCTTCCTAATGTTTTCCTAGGTGTCCATGTATATGTCGTTTACAATCGCTTACAGGCAGTTGAGTTTAGTCATTTTTTTGAACGCACCAAACTTGCGTTCAGGAGTAGATTTTATCAGCATTTCAAACGCCAAATGCTTGTAAATGTGGTTAACAGCATTTATAAGCGTTTGCAATTAGAAGAATTTTTTACTTGTTCCATATCCAAAAAGGCTGTCCAGAGCCTTTTTTCATCATCAGAAAAGCATACAAAGTGTTTTCCATGTATTCAAATGGACCCGGTACACCATCGCAGTCAGTTTCAGGTTTCACGTGAAGGAAAAAATGGTAGAACGTGGCGCATGGTCACAATGGGATCCATAGTGAAGACAACCAGAAAAGACAGATCATCTCAACACATACTGCTCTCTCTCCTTCTGGTCTCTCGAATTCTTTCAAAATGTCTGAAACAGTTAATTTTTTTCCTGTTCTTCAGTGCATTCTGGGCATTTTGGAAGGTCTCTTGAGGTTACCTTTAACCACAAGCCTACCGGGCACTTATACCCCCTTCCTGCCCAGGCCATTTTCCCGCTTTCAGCGCTGTTACACTTTGAATTACAATTGCGCGGTCATGCAACACTGTACCCATATGAAATTTTTATTTTTTTTGTGACAGATGGAGCTTTATTTTGGTAGTATTTAATCACCTCTGGGTTTTTTTATTTTTTCTTAAACCAAAAACCACTGAAAATTTTGAAGAAAAAAAAAAGTTTCTTAGTTTTTGTTATAAAATTTTGTAAATAAGTGATTTTTCTCCTTCACTGATGTGCGCTAATGAGGCTGCAGTGATGGGCACTGATAGGTGGCACTGATGGGCATTGACAGGCATCACTGATGGGCACTGAAAGACAGCACTCATATATGGCACTGATGCACACTGATAGTCGGCACTGCCTGGCAGCATTGATAGGTGGCACTGACTGGCATTGACAGGTGGCACTGAAAGGCAGCTCAGATGGGCACTGATATGTGGCATTGAAATGTGGCACTGATGGGCACTGGCAGGTGGCATGGATGAACAGTGAGAGCTGGCACTGATGGACACTGACAGGTGGCGCTGCTGGGGCTACACAGATCATCAGGGCACACTGATGATCTGTGTACATGTCCCCTCCGAGGAATGCCGATTACTGGCTCTCCTCTCCTCACGAAGTGTCAGCGTGACAGCTCGTGGGGAGAGAAATGCCGATAACCAGCATTTCCCTGTTTACATGTGATCAGCTGTAATTGGATACAGCTGATCACATGACCGAGCCGACATCTTCGGCCCTTTCCGTGGATCGGTTTCGAGCTATGGGTATAGCTACAGCTGATTGACGCTACACCGCTGGCACCATGAGGAGTCCCGGCGGCCATCTTGTTTTGGTCAGTATTACTCTTTTATACCCATCTGCCTGAACTTTGGAATAAATATCCTTGACATACTACACTATTGACTTCCTCTGTTTTTTGAGCACCTGTGGGAGCTCATCATGATTGCAGAGCGTATGCTATTGGAGTATGGATTATGAAGCAGTGGAGGCTACATGACCGATCTGACCAGACCTATGTGAGGGCGTCTGATGCGTTTTTATGATATACAAATGCGCATAAAGATTGCGTATCTGGTGAGTGCGCAGTCTTTACCTTATTTTCTCACCTTTTTCACGTTTCCAGTTATTGGACGCCTGAAGATCATCAGCGATCTTTTTTTTTTGGACTCATTTAGATTGGTTATAGATCTTTCACGATATTAGCCACATAATATAGTGGCATATATGCTTGCACAATGTCACCTTACTTATCTATTTATATACAAGGCTCATTAATTTGTGGACGTCTATGCGGCCGTCTGTGATTTCAACCACACTGTCACCTTTTGGTATGCTTAAGATTTTTTTTTTTGCAATATTAGTCACAGATTCTAGTTGCATATGAATTTGCACAATGTCACCCTATTGATGATTATTTATCTATATATGAATTTAGCATATATACATTATATTTGTGATGTTTACCAGCGCTGCACGCTTTTAGTATATTACGGTTTACCTGAAGGTCTTATATGGTGCCTTTGGTGCATGGTCGCTATTCCCTGTGTTGATTGAACGCTCACTTATTTTCAACTTCCTGTTTAAACTTTATAAATTGTGCACTTTGAGCAGCTGTAGAGAAGAGAGGTTGCAGATAGACAGGTACAACTTATGTAGGAGGATTTGTTTCATCTCTGTATATCATCTGAGGCCAAACACTTTAATGAGTATATGTGAGGGTTTACAACATTAACTTCATAGCTGCACAGTTTGTTTGTTTTTTCTATCTAACAGCGTCCTTTGCTTAGGCAGTTTGTTTTTTTTTTCCGAAAAGTTGAACTATGTCTAAAGCAGATTTTCTAACTTGAATGATCGATTACTGATCTATCGTTTAAGCATTGTTTTATGGAGTATTCACAGACATAAGATCACTAAAGCAGCCCATAGCTTATGCAATTTTTTTTTCCTTCGACTACAGGTGGGGGGGCGAAAAAATGGCTCAATTCCCCCATCAACACAGTGTTGATGGGGAAATCCCTCCCGCAGCGCTACTGTGTTCTGCAAGCAGGGGGCCCTCCCTGCCAGCAAATTACAATGAGTGGTGTTGTGGCATATAGCTTGCCATTCTACTGGTATGGGAAAACCCAACAGGCTGTTTGTACGCAGGTCAATTGGTCAATGCTGAACCAGCCACATTTTGATGCTTGTACTGTATGGCTGGCTTTAAGTCAGCCGAGAAAAGCTGTGCGGATGACTTATCTCATGAGTAGCTTTATTCTGGAAGTGACACTTCTCAGCATTCTATGTTGGACTTTTGTCATTTACATTTTTTTTTATTACCCCCCCCCCCATACTGTTTGCCAAGGTTGTACATATCTCACTAATCTTGTCAACTCACAATGGTCTCATTTGCATTCTAATATGATTTGTTCTGTTTGATTCTATTCACAAATTATACAAACATTCGTGATGAGGGAAAGATCATCAAACAAAACCACATTCATACTGTAAAATTCTCTTCCACCCCCAGAAAGAGAAAAAAAAATAAAAATTCTTGCTCAAAAAGCCAAAAATCAAGTAATCCAAACCCAAACACAAACACACCCCAAAACATAACAGCTTCCATGGTTAGCCTAGGAAGATTGGGGAAGCCAAGAGGATCAGGTTTCTTGAACAAAAAAAGTCCAGAGAAAGGGGAGGAAGGGTCTGCTACATTTTAAAAACATTTAGCAAATAAGGTGTTAATTAGGTGTCAGAGATTTTGCAAGGAGAGATGATTAACCCTGTAGGTTCAACAGGAGACACACAGGATAAAATAACAAAGACCACAAAATGGTTCAGAACAAAAAAAAAATCCCAATCCTACGCAACACTGCCTCTTTTATTCCAGAGGGTTAAAGCAACATTGAAACCTCATACAGCGGTATCATTAAAAGCAGACAAATTGCGCTAACCCAGCAGTCTACACACACTGACACTACAGGGGAATAATTTGTGCTCTGAAAAAAAAAATGTTTATTTTATAACATGGTTTCACTGGTGCTAACAGCAGACAGACAATATATCAGTCATTACATAGCAATGAAAACAAATGAGCAGCAACCTAGAACTTGTGATTGCACAAACTGCTGTTTATGCGCACACTTTGTATTTTGATCATATAAAAGCACTTCAGATTTTGCAGATTAATGTGCACAATGGCTGGTGGGACACTGGAGATGGTGGGTGGAGATTTGGGCATTACCTTGCCAGTAGTCTTTATTTTGCCAGTAAAGTCCCGTTTTTTACGGTCATTTGTCCCATCATCGTTGTGTCCCAAGCTGTGTCCCGGAAATAGAGAATTGCTCTGTCAATTTCTTAGCTTTGGTAGCTCTTCATCCTCGATCCACCCATATCTACTTCCCCGACTCCTTACCCCGATCAGACACTGCTGCCCCCCCCTCCTCACAAAGCCTAATATCAATAAAGCTGCCCCCCAGCCCCAGCCACTGATCTTTGAGGTGCCACCAGTAAGCCTGGAAAGTCACCAAATCCAAAGTCTATCTGTTTCGCACAGCCTACCTGCTCCATTCTGTTGTGCAGAAGAGCAGCTACTGGTGCCCAGAGTCACTTAGTTGCTGGAGCTGGTAACACTACTACTGCTTGCAGCTTCTTGAATGGAGGGATGCTGACAGCTCTGCGATTGTGTCAGCACCTCTCCATATAAGCCACTTGATGAAACAGGTACAGGGTAACAGACAAGAAACAGAGCTTTTTTTTTTTTTTTTAAACTCAGTGTGCATGGAGCCTCAAAAAGAAATCTAATGCAGCCATCACATCTAAGAATTTGCAAGCTGCAATATAATGTTTGCCTTTGGATTTAATACCACTTTAAACACTTGCCTATTGGGCACTTCTACCCCCTTCCTGCCCAGGCAAATTATCAGCTTTCAGTGCTGTCGCACTATGATTGACAATTGCGCGGTCATGCAACACTGTACCCATATGAAATTTCTAGAATATTTTTTTCACACAAATAGAGCTTTGTTTTGGTGGTATTTACTCGCCGCTGGGTGTTTTATTTTTTGCGCTATAAACAAAAAAATGAGCAAACATTTTGAAAAAAAAAAAAAAAAGTTTTTTTGTTTCTATTATAACATTTTTCAAACAGGTAATTTTTCTCCTTCACTGATGTGCGTTGATGAGGCTGCACTGATATGCAACAATGATGGGCACTGATAGGCGGCATGGATGGCACCACTGATCATCAAGGCACTGATCAGTGGTGCAGATCCATCCTCTAACAATTGTTGGTTATCGGCAGTACTTTCCTAACGCTGTGACAGTGTAAGGAAAATGCAGCCGATAACTGGCAACTGTGTCATTGGACACGGCTGATTAAGTGGTAAAAAGCTGCTGCGATTGGCCTTTTACCTATCACGTGATCAGCTGTGTCCATAGGACACAGCAATCACGGGGGGGGGGCGCATGGGAGGGAGTCATATGACGCCCTCCCAGAACTGGCCAGCAGCGGTGAAGTCGTCATTCGGCTATCTGCGGTCTGCAAGTGGTTAGAGTGCATCTAGATCCAAAACAAAAATAATATATATAGCAATTTATCTTTCCTTAGATGAGGTGGCTGCGTTAGTTCATGGGAAGTGACAAGGACAACGCATTTCTTGCACAATCAGTGGGTATTTTCTGTACTTGCAGAAAATATCCTTAGCAGGGAAAAAAAAAATAAAATGAATTCAGCCACCACATCTAAGGACTGGTAAGCTGCAATATATTACAATTTTTTTTAGGGTTTAGATGAAGTTAAAGTGTACCTGTCTTGTAAAATGGAAGCAGACACATTGTGGATGTATATTTTAAGGAATGCACCACCAGGAACCAGTGATATTACTTTGGTATGACATTTCCTTGCAACTCCCATGAGCACAGGTACAGATCAGGCAAAATTCTGTTCCTGCAACATTTAGCTGTCATGTAGCTGAGGTTTTACAGACTCCCTCTCCTCTTATACTAGACATGAAAGGATTTCAACCAGTCACCTTTTACTAAGAAAAAGCAGAGTTCTTCCTCTCTCATCAGAGAAGCAGCAGCTACATACAGTAGGTGACAGCAAAAAGACTTGTTACCTCTACCCAGCAGGAAGTCTGAGATCTTACATAAAAGTACAATATAGACATTAAAATTAAAAGGAGTTCAGGGGTCAAAATGGTACCTATACTTAAAGTAGATCTCCAGGTTTTAGTGAAGTTTAAGTACTTCATTTGGAACAAGTTTCCTCTTAACTGGCAGAGAGGTGAGCGGATGATGTCCTGATCTTCGCCTCAGTCAATCAGAGCAAGCTTTGTGTTTATTCATAAAATACAAAGCTCCCTGTGAATGGCTGAGCAGCACTCAGCCCAACACAATCATGTTCCGGGAGGGGGACAGGAAGTTCCCACATCACTGCAGAAACATAGCACTGTATACTGTATGTAGCTGAGGCTACAGTTTATACAGCGCACAGCAACTTCCAGAAGATTTTATCCCCTTCATGACTAGGGCATTTTCTGCCATTCAGCATTGTACTACTTTACCTGGCAGTTTCGTGGTCATGCAACAGTGTGCAAATGAAATTTAGATAATTTTTTTCACACAAATAGAGCTTTCTTTTGGTGGTATTTTGATACTGGTTTTTATTTAAAATAAATTTGCTATAAAAAAAAAAAAAAGGAAGAAGACTGAACTCCTCATACCCCCCCCCCCACCACATTTTCTACTTTTTGTTATAAAGCATTTCCAATAAATATCTCATTTCTTCATAAATTTAAGCCAAAATGTTTATAATAATTGGTTCATGTGAAAGTTATAGCGTCTACAAACTATGGTATATCCATATTTGAAAATTAACCAATCTTTATGTACCGACGGCCTCTCTCATTCCTTGAGGCCCTTATAATGCCAGGACAGTACAAATACCCCCCCAAATGACCCCTCTTTAGAAAGTCTGAGGTATTTAGTAAGAGGCAAGGTGAGTTTTAAAAATGTAATTGTCACAATGTTTTTTTTTTTTAATATACTGTCGCCAGTGCAGTACAACATCATCATATGACTGGTGTGACAGTGATCAGGAATACGGACTGGTGACCGTATATTAAAAAAATAAACAAATAATTACATTTTTTAAACTTTTTTTTTTACTTTTCAAATACTTTCATCAGCGTAGTCACCATAATGACACTGTACTACTCTAGGGATTTATCAGGGCTTTTTTTTTTTTTACATTTTGATTACGGTTACTGCAATATTTGAACTGTCAGGAAGGGTTTACATTTATAACAGCTGTGATTACTGTTGTGTGCTGTGATTGGGCCACAGCTATCACATAGTACAGGATGCTGTGACTGGCTCACTAGGCTGTGACAGGTATCGCAGCTGTTAAGAATTAAATTTATTTAGGAAAGTTCAAAACATTGCTGTTAGTGATTGTCAGCCCTGAGTTCTCTTCTGCTGGGCAAGAGTTGATACAAATTGCAGCTCACACAGGGCTTTCTCTCTTAGCTTCTATCAGCTGAACATAGCAGCAAGGTGGTGAAGGGAAGGAAAGCATATGCATAGGTTAACATTAAGAGCTGATTCACACATGTGCGGTGTGGATTGAAGCTCAGGTTTCACAGCTAATTGATATAGTAGTTGTTCAGCAGTTCATGTCAGGTTCAGGACAGGATTAGGTCAGGATTATATCCTGTTCACACATGTGCCATTTAGAAACAGTTCCCATAGAAGTCAATAGTGTGCATAGGTTAACATTAAGAGCTGATTCGGTGGAGCCTGACCATGGAGGCTGCGTAGGGTTTGATGTAGGAGCTCTCTGACAGGCTCTGTTATCTGACCTCCCCAGGGGCACTCGCTATGCAAGAGACAGTTGGAGTGAGACCTACCTTTGCCTGAGGGGTCTCGGCGGTCGAGCAGAGGTCCTAAGACGCGGAGGTCTGGAAGCTGGAGACGGAGCTCGGTCTGCCCGGGGCTTGGCAATTCAGTGGGCTGGGCTCCCGGGAGACAAGGAGAGTGGCGTGACCACGTGGTCAGCCGCGAATGAGTACTGGGAGGAGAAGAAGCCGGCCGGCATCCTGAGAAGGGAGGGAGGCGCCGGTCTGCTCCTCAGCTCATTCCCTGGCTTGTCGCCCAGACCGAAGAGAAGGCGTATGCCCTAGCATTTTTTCCACGGCCAGACCCCTATTAAGGTGAGACCATAGAGATGGAAGGAGTGACCCTGTGGAATCCCCCTAAGGACTGAACTGCTGGGAAGAGCCTGACATATGCAGCCCAGAGCCGCCTTGCAGAAAAGAAAGAGAGAGGAGGGTGAGTGAGAGCGGCTGGAGCTTATTACATTCTAAATGTTCCACTGTGCTGTATGGAAGAGCAGGGTGTGAAGGAGAGAAGGGGGATTCCCAGGGGTTATGAAGGAGTGAAAAAAGAAGAGGACTAAGCGACCTAGAAAGGAGAGTAATTGGACAAATAGCTAGGCAAGGCTGGGATCCTAGTATATATTTGCAATACTTACCTATCCCAAGATCACAGAGGAGCTTAGGACCCATAGAAGATATGAAGAATAAAAGTGCTAAAGGAAGTGGGCTCAAAGGGTCCCAAACGGGTACGATCAAAAAATACATGTCCCAGGGAAATGGGACTCCAGAAAGGCCTCAAGGTATAAACAGAAAAGGTGAAGGGATTATTAGTCTGGAAAACAGTCCTAGATTATCGTTGGGCTCAAATGTTAGTAGTCAACAAATAACAGGAAATATAGATGAGAGAAATGGAAAGCGAACTACAAGTACCAAATAAAAAAGAGATGGCAGAAATGTTTAAAGACTTAGAGAAAACAATAAAGCAAGAAATGGCAACTATCCGAAATGATTTGGGGCAGCTGTTACTGAGAGTGGAAGAAACGAAACGGAGGAGAAAGTAAAAAATCAGGCCCAAAACATTTCTGAATTAGAAAAGAAGATAATTAACACGGGGAAAGTTCAGAAAAAAAAGTTGCTGTATAAGATAGAGGTACAAGAAAACAGGGACAGGAGGAGTAACCTTAGGATACGAGGAGTCCCAGAGATTGCAAAAAGGGGAAGCATTGCAAGTATTAGTATGTAAAATCTTCATCTCCATAATGGACAGACCTGATAGAGTTGATTAAATAGGAAAGTGCCAACAAGGTACTGGGAAGGAAAAACTGAGAGACATAATTGTTCAATTCCATAAGTATGGTGAAAAAGAAGAGATTTGGAGGAAGATCAAAGGAAGAACAACAATTAAGTATGGAGAAAGTGACATTCAGATTTTTGCAGACCTA